ATTTAAATGGGATGGATGGTTTTGTGGTTAAAACATTGCACTGTGATTCAAGGAGACCGGGTACAATTCCTGGCCCAAGGCTCCCTGTGTGTGACAAAAAGAAAAGGAATACTTGTGGCACCTTAGAGATGAAGTGAGCTGTAGCTCACGAAAGCTTATGCTCAAATAAATTTGTTAGTCTCTAAGGTGCCACAAGTACTCCTTTTCTTTTTGTGTGTGACAAGTCAATTGCCGTGCCTCAGTTTCCCCCACCTGTATGCTGGTGAGAACAAACCTTCCTTTGTGTCTCTTGTCTGTGAAGATTGCAAGCTCTTCGGGGCAGGGATTGCTATTATGGATTTCTGGGCAGTGCCTGGCATAATGGGGCCCCGATCTCAGTTGGGCCCCTGCAATGTTCCTGCCGAACAAAGAATGAAGGTTTCATTCTGGCAGCTGCCTCAGCTTCTGGGATGCGGGTTCCTTCCCTCTTCCACCGAAGAATCTGGTGGTGGTCAGTGCTAGAGACAAGACACTGGACTAGGCGGGCGCTGGGTCTGATCCAGGTTGGCAATGCCTATGTCTCCGTGTAGCCACTGTGTAAGAACTTCAGGTCCAGCCAGCCTCTCTTTGAAGCCGTGGGGCCCATCAGAAGACGAATGGCCCAGTCACTGTCTTCTAAAGCAACTTGGGGCCTCATGAACCGCTCATGACTTAATGCAATAGCTGTGTTCCCTTCATGCCGACCCCTGCTGGGAACAAAGCTTCCCCTGGCACGGCCTGTGCCCTAGCCAGATTTTCCCCCAGACCCCTCTCTTCTACAGGAGGGAATTGCCCTTCTCCTGAACAGGGGAGACGGCCGGGGGGTTACTCTGGCTCTGCCATGCACTGGCGACTGGCCGTGCTGTTAGTGGCAAAGCGCAGGGCAGTCTGTACTGCGACAGCGGAGTGGACGGGAGGGGGGAAGAACTAGATGTGATTTCTCTTCCCCTTCCCCAGGCCCCTTCTCTGCTTTGTCCGTGGAGCATCCATTGCCCTGACCAACCAAAGCGCTAAAGCGTTCTCGCCCTGTTCGAGTCAACGAGCCGAGCCGCAGCTGTGTCTCCGAGACTGTTAAGAGGGTGTCTGAAGCGCCGGGAGGGCAGTTTATGTAGCAAGCAAAAGGGGAAATTGACAACAGGGCATGATTCATGTCTTGCTGAAAGCATGTTCTGTTCCCAGAAGCCTGAAGGCCGGATTCTGATATCGGGTACTCCAGTGTGAATCCAGAGTGAATCCCTAGACTTTCATGGATGTCTACACCAGTGTAACTGAGAATCTGGCCCTACCTCCGTTGGCTCCAGTGGGGTTACTTTGGGCTTACACTGGTATAACTGGGATCAGAATCAGCCCACAACTCTATTGACTACAATAGAGTGACTCCAGATTCACATCAGTGTCATGGAGATCAGAACCTGTCCCTAGCTCCACTGACTCCAGAAAGGGTGCCCAGCATCAGAATCTGGCCTGAATTCGCCCATCACCTAATTTCCCCCTACGTTTCAGTCTTCAGCACTTATGTCCTTGAAAATAATTTTACTCTCGTCTCTTGGCCTTGGGTTTCAGTCTGGAGAAGGACCGAGGAGGGCTCTGATTCAAGGCTGGGACAAGGGTCAGAACCTCATCTCCTAACCCATCCCTTTAATTTTGGGGCCAGGATAAAAGCTGCAGAGCCTCAGACACTACTGCTTTCTGTTCCGAGTGCGAGGCACGCTTCTTTGGCCCGCCTTTAATAATGAGCACATAACACAGCCCTAGAATAAATATATCTGGTCGAAACAAAAAAACCCTCTTGTGATTTTCCCATTGGGTGGAATCGCATGCGACCCCCCACCAGCACTGTTGCATCTGAGCACCTCCCAGCCAACCCGACTAGCACTTGTCGCATGCGATTCCACCCAATCAAATAGCAAAACCCTTCTGCCAGATTTGAGAGCAGATTCACAAAGATAGCTAGGTACCTAGAGGGGCATTTAGTGAGATTTAGAAAGTTGCCTATGGTGGTCAAGCACCTAACTCCTATTGAAAGTCAGTGGGAGTTAGGTACCTAACTCACAGAGGTGATTTTTGCAAATCCTTTAGCGAGTTTGGCCCTTGGTTCTGGATCATGTGCAAAAGTGCTGAGTAGATGGCCCAAAATTGGCAGAAGTCGCATGAGATCCACTAATTTCTCCTATTTAGTAGATGTTTTATTATTATTTGTCTGATGGTAGCACCTCAGAGCCCCAGTAATGAGCCCATGGTGTGGTGTTAGGAGCTGTACAAACATAGAACAAAGAGACAGGCCCTGCCCCAAAGATATTCCATTTCTGTCTTGCTCCCACTCTCTGTGCCCTGTTGCACGCTGTCTGGGAAACAGAACATGAACCCAACAAAGTATGAGCTGAGGTTTGAGACCCACCCATTACACCCACCCACTGCTGTGGTTAAACTGCAGGACACACTGCTGTTGGGTTTTAATGTGGTTCACCTGTGGAACGCTCTACTCTAGGATATTAGTGAGGTTAACTTGTGGGACTCACAGCTGCTGTGTATTAGTGATATTTGCCTCTGGAACTCTCTGTTCCTGGATATTACTGTGGTTAACTAGCTGGTTTAATGTGCTGGATATTTTGACAGTCCGGTTTGCCTGTGGAACTCTCTGCCACAGGATATTAGTGAGGTTAACCTGTGGGATTCACAGCTACTGGGTATTAGTGAGGTTTGCCTGTGGAACTCTCTGTTACAGGATGTTTTGAGCTTATCCCTGTGGGACTCTCTGCTGCTGGGTGTCACCCTGCCAAGGAGCTTAGTGAGATTCAGAAAAGAATTAGATGTTTATATCAATAAGGATTGCACCTGCTAGGACCATCAGAGAAGGGGTCTCCAGCTTCATGCTGCAGGGCTCCATCCAGTCATCAGAGCAGGGGGAGCTAATGTGTGACTCTCAGGGGTGGGTACCGCACTCTAGATGGACCGAAAGCCTGCTCCAGGGGCAGCGATTCTTGTGGCTTGGGTGAAAGTCACCGTTACATACCAGATGCTCGCCTCGTCCGGCTTCTCCAGACAGCCGGGTGCCGTCCCGTAAGCCGCTTCCTAAAACAGAGCTAGCAAAATACCTTCTGGAAAGACAATGAGCTCATGTGTGAGGCCTGCAGGATGTACAGCAGCCAGGGGTCACTGGGGAGTGGGGCAGGTCTGGGGCTCAGCAGCTCTCTGCTGTCTGTCATCAGCGGGGCAGTGGAGAGATCCAATGTCAGTAACTCACGTGCCGGGGGGCCTGAGCCGAAGGGCTGGTTCAGGGTGGGGGTGGGGTCATAACGGGGCAAAAAAAGTCGCAGACAAAACTTTTTTGTGTTGGAAAAATGCTGTTTCGGGGGAAAGCGTCGGTTTCCAGGGAACGGTGCCAACAGCAGGTTGGTTTAGATGAAAATGTTGCCAGGAAGGTTGCTTAGGCCCAGGATGGAATTTGTGCTCAGAGGGAGAGACACCCGCCCCAAAATAGACAACAGCCTGCTGGTTAGGATGGGCACGTGGGAGACCCAGGTTTGGGTCCCTTCTCTGTCTGAGTCAGACCAAGGACTTGAATGCAAGTGACTGAACCGCTAGGCTAGAGAGTTGGCCTGTCTCTTTGGCCCAAGGGCTATTTAATTATTTGTAAAGGGGGGATGGGGGGACGAGGTAATGTTGGCAAGAGAGAGACGAGCTTTTGAACTACACAGAGCTCTTCTTCGGGTCTGGGAATAGTACTCCAAGGGTATTTCTACACGGTAGTGTACGCCCAGGGTTCGGACTCAGGCTCACACCCAACTCTGCTTCTGTCTATACACAAATTGCGCCAACCCAGGTCTCAGGACCTCCTCCCACCCTCCCACCCCCCGGGGGCGGAGGGTCTGAGCCTGAGTCAAGTTGGGATTCAGGGTCCAAGCCCTATTGCTTTGCAGCCTAGATACAGCCACGCTGGATTCGTGCTCTGGGAGTCCACTAAAAATTTCCATAATCCCACTGGCCCACGTTCTTTGTCCTCTGGACAGTCCAGTTTGGTGGACAGTCGAGGTTTCCCACATTGCATTACGAACCAAGGACCGGAACGGCCACATTTTGGGAGGGCTCTAGAAAGTCTGGGATAGGGTGGTTGGCCTTGTGTTCGAATTCGGGTTCCTAGCCTGGGGTCCCAAATGAGTGTAGATGACATCTCAAAGAGTGCCTCCAGCCCTGGTTAAAGCCATCCTGGTGGGGCAGTAATGGAGGGTAACCTGCAGAGCGGACGGCTGCAGGCTCCTGCGGTGAACGGCGAATGTTTCCATCTGGGGTAGCTCCCTCAGTATCAAAATCTTAGCTGGTGGTAGCCGTGGGGGAGATTTGGCTGAGGATGCAGAGGGACGGTTAACCCTTTGTAAACTCTCCCAGGATACTTGTGTCTATTTCCCCCTGCAATGAAGATCCGGCCTCTATGTAGGCAGAACATGGGTGCTCCCTATGGAGGGGTCAACCTAGGCAGACCCCATGCGGTGACCCAAAGCAGCAGGGAGCTAGAGAACCACAGGGTCTGTCTGTGTCCACCAGTCTCAGTGAGAGAGCCCCTTTCCCTCCATGACAGCCCAGTTGCCTCTCAGCCACCAGGGATGCTGTGAGGTTTTGTACCAGTAACTCCCCATTGCCCGCTGCTTCCCAGCCCCAGTGACCAGTTCGGAACCAGCCCAGGGGGGAGCTGGGGCCTCACCAGACCAGGAGGCAGGCCCGGTAAGGCTGGCCGTGCCAGGCCTCTGCACAGGGCCTGAGTGGCTTGAAAGCAGCAGCTTCCAGAAGGGACCGTTGCCAGGAGTGCTTTCTAATCACATCTGAGCAGAGTGACCCTGCGCTAGCCGGGTCTTACATAAGAGCCGTTAATGGCTCATACAGGCGGGGATGAAAATAGACTCACATCAGGACGTTAGGAGGGATGGGGCGGGGGGTGATTCCACACCGGTGACCTCCCCAGGCTCATCTTGTTGTTTCCCATCCAGCTGAGACGTCGACTCTACCGCGCTCTGGTTGCTGTGACCGAGACGGGTGACTCAGACCCAAGCCCCCAGCCTGGCTTCCCCCGGGACCCCATCCCCATCCGGCTCGTCCAGAGGAGGCGATCCAGCTTAGGACGCACAAGCAGTAAGGCCTCTAGCGACAAGCACAGCATCCAGGATGGGAGCGGTCACAGGTCCACCCCATCGCCTGCCCGGAGAGGTCTCCCCGCCGCCCTGAATCGGGATCCCCCTGCCAAGAAGACTCAATCTCCACCCTCTGTGGCCAGCCGGCTCTGGGAGGGCGGGGACCTCTCCTCCTTGGGCAAAGAGATGTGAGCATGCAGCCAGGACATTCCCCCCACCCCTTCTCTGCCATAACCGCTGGGAGCTGGGCGGGAAGTGGGATTTGCGTCCCGCGGGGCATTCCGGGATTTCGAAATTTTGTTTTCTCCCAGATCTGGGCAAAAAGTCGAAATCTCGGAATCTTTCGCAAAACAAAATAATATGAAATCATGCGTGAAGACCTTATCGAAATTGTTTCATTTCGACTTTATCATTTCACCTATTACAGAGGGAGGCAGAGTGGCCTAGTGGCTAGCGCACTGACCTGGGACTCAGAAGACCTGGGCTCTATTCCGAGCTCTGCCAGTGGCCTGCTGGGAGACTTCCCTTTCCGTGCCTCAGTTTCCCCATCTATAATATGGGGGAAATGAAGCACTTAGAGGTCTATGGATGAAACTTGCTATATAAGTGCTAGGTTAATAGTATATTTATTAGATTATAAAGTCAAAATGATAAAGGTGAAATGAAACATCTTGATAATTTCAACAAAATTGTTACCTTCCCGCAAGACATTTTGATTTTTATTGAATCAAATTTTACCCAAGGGAAAAACATTCTGTTGGGAAATTTGTAGCTGGTTCTAGGCTGGGAAGCTTTAGGCCAGGAATAGAATTGGGGTGGGGGGCTGAGCAGAACCAGTTAATATCCTGCAGCAGGGGGCTCTGTAAGTTAACCTGAAACATCATTCTGCAACAGGAAGTTCCACAGAATAGCCTCAGATATCATGCTGCAGCAGGGAGTTCCCCAGGATAACCTCAGTTAATATCCCACAGCTGGGAGTTCTGCAGGTTAATCCCCCTAACATGCCCAGTGGTAAACATGCCGACAGCCACCCCCTGTGGAAGGCATCTTATCCAGTGACCAGCACGCCAGCCCAATCCCATTGCTGGCAGCTGCCAAGCCTTTCCTCCCCTATTAACTGACACCCCATCCCACATCTTCCCCAACTACCACAGCTATGCTTCCAAAGGACCCCTGTCTCCCAAGGGCAGTAACGGTCCCCAGAGCTGAGCGGCGCTTACTGAACACAGTCTAAGGTCTCATGCATTTCCAGCTCTTCCAAGCAGTTTGCTCTGACGTAGAGGAGATGGTCCAGGGCTAAATCTCACATGCAAAACACCCCCAATGCAGTGGAAGTGCCGGGGTTACCAAATAGCTGGCATATATCAGCTTTAGCACCCAGTCCTGCCAGCTGCAGAGCGCCCTTCGCTCCCTCTGGCTTCAAACGCGCAGGAGCAGTGTGCAAAAGGGGGCCCTCGATTTTGTATCCTGTCCTTCCATGCGAGTGTACCCTAAGTGGCTTTATGGCATTAGGAAGCTAAATCATATAGAGTAGAGAGGGCCTGGATCTTCCGGAAGCACGGGCTGGGGAGGAGAGATGCAGGACGGCTGCCCCAGGGGAGTGAAGCTGCACTGGAGAAGGCTCTTGTGCCAAGAAAAGCTGGCCTGCATGTAAGGGGAGAGAGAGGAGGGTGGAGTTAGACAAGCCAGGGAGAGAGAAGAGATGGCATTATAGGGAGGTGGTCCTAGTGGCAGCTGCTGCATGGGAACCCTTTGTGGCTCTCGCACGACTGAGTCGTCACCTCCAAAGACACTGCAGCAGGACAGGCTCCCTCGATCCAGCGCCCTCGTGAACGAGCTTCGGTCAGTTTTGCTCCAAGGCTAGGTTCCTCTCCCTCTGGCGTTTCCCTTCCTGTGCTTGTGTTCTGTAAAAGGTAATAAAAAAATAAATACATAAACCCAGCCTCCCAGCCATGTTCACTGGAGCCTGCCATTTTCTTGTGTCTGCAAACTGGAACAGCTCACTCAGAAATAGCAATCCTTGGTTCTTGCATCACTAGCTCAGGCTCTCAGAACATGCTGTGCACATGGGTGTTATCCCCCACTTTACAGGTGGGGAAACTGAGGCACAGAGAGACTATGTGACTTGACACAGGGCATGTTAGTGGCAGAGCTGGGAATAGACTCCAGGAATCCTAAATTCCCATCCTAGACAACACTCCCCACCCCAGTGTTGGGAATGGAACCCAGGAGTCCTACCTCCCAGACCCCTGGTTCTAATTGCTAGACCCCACTCTCTTCCCAGAGCCAGACATAGAATGTCCTGTCTCTCAGCCCCCTGTTTAAATCACTAGATCACACTCCTCCCAGGGCCAGGAAGTTGCATTCTCCTGCTGAAGGCATCCTGCAGCTAGTTCCCCATGTCTATGTTTAAACAATAGATTGGGGGGGCACTTTGGATTGTATCTAAACAGGTGCACCTGTCTCAAATAACCTGCCATTCCCATTCGGGCTGGCTTAGAGCCTGGTCTCTCCTCCCTTCCTTTGCAGTTCCAGAAGAGGACTGAGTGGCTGCAGGCTCCGGGCCCATGCGAGCGGCGATATGCATGCCCTGTGCATTGTATGCTCCCTCAGACTGTGGCTTTGCAAAATATGTATCCCTCTTTAGCTTGATTTTCCCCTCAGAGAAAAGTCCAGTGACTCCAATGTGTGTTCCCCTGACTTACACCAGTTTGAGGTGCGAATCAGGCCCTGCGAGACCACTGTGGAATTGCTCCACCTCTCCCTTAGCTCACACACGTACATTTCACTCGCCCCGCAGCCAGCGGGTGCAGCACCAGGGTCAGCAAGTGGGCCAGAATCTGATCTCATGCCGGTTTCACACTGGCGAAGCACCATTGATTGCTCCTTTTCAACACTGGGGAAAGTGAGTGGAGAATCCAGCCCTGCGACTGTAGTGAGGCTATTGATTGACGAATCTGGTGTCCCCTCACCCGCTGTTAAATGAGTCTTCTGTTCTATTCCTTGCCCTCATGTTCTTCCTTTTCAGTTCTTCAAGCCTCCTTCAATCACTGCCTTGCTGAGAGCGCACAGAAGGCGATGCTTATTGGTGTCTCTACAGACACAGGATGTGTGTTACCTCCGTATTCCAGGGGGTCTTTTGATCAAGTCATTTGCCTGGAGTCTTCCAGAGATCTGCCTTATGGAGCTGATTTTCCAAGATCCTCAGTGCCCCCAGCGGCTGTTGACTTCAGCTGCGTTTGTGGGTGCTCAGCATCTCTGAAGAGCAAGCCCCAGGCCTCTTCTTTATCTCACTGTTCAGAGGCTGCTTGACCCTTCCTGGTAGGGCCAGGTGAAGGTGCCCCCAGCCCATAAATGTTACAGTTGAGGTAAAGGTGGACCGGAGCTGCAGAATTCAGATCCAAGTCCTGATTCCACCCAGGGTTTGGTTTCAGCCCGTTCCGGAGTTGAGATCCACCTGGACGTGTTTGGCTCCAAGCCCCAGCTCCATCACCCTGCCCCTGGTGCTGTCATTTACACCAGCACAGTGTGCGTGTCAAATGCTACCGTTCTGAGCCGGTGCTTTGCATGGTATAAACAATGGCCACCAGTGCAGAGAATCAGGCCCCTGGTGCATGGGAAGTAACGGCTGCTGCTAGACAGAGCAGTGTCTTGAGAGCCTGGGGCCCCTTTGTAACTGGAAAGCCGGAGCCTCATGCACCCAGCTGTTTACCCAGAATTACCTTCCACTTTAACTCCTGGTAGGTCAGTAGACCCTTATCTGGCACAATCAATGGTCAGTGGCCCTCTGTGCTTGGCTCCTAACACAGCACATGCATGATGGACATTGTCCAAGCTAACCCTTCCACACTGCTGGCCTTCCTCTTTCATTAAGGTAACAAAGCCCTCACGCAGGACTGTGCTTATCATGATAAACCTTAGCCCCCCCTCTCTCTTAAGCTCCATCCTGAGCAGGCTCATTACATCTTTTCCCTATGGGCCCTCTTCTAGCTCTCCCTTCACTCCCAGACTCTCAGCCTTTATGTTGTTGAGCAGGCTTAATCAGGCCCCACCTGGTCTGGCTGAAAGGGTGAGTCAGTAGAGTAGCTCTGCACCTCCATACAAGGTTCCTATTTAATGCCCTAAACCAGATAGAACAGATCCTTTGATTCACCTTCCATGATCCAAAAGGGCCCATTGTTTCTTGATATGGCAGCTTTAGGGGGATTGGTGAACAGGGATGTCAAATATATTTCCATCAGCACCAGGATGGGACCCTACATTTTTTATTTGATCTGTGCTGCCTTTAACTTCTATCTTTCCCTGCATGTTATTTTTTATAATGTTCTTTGCACGGTCCTTCTTTACAGGCAGTCTCAGATTCCACAGACCCCAGTCCCTACTGGATTGGGAGACTGGGCCGGATTCTGATCCCTGGTGCAAACCCAGAGTCACTCTGCTGCGTTTGATTTACACCAGTATAAGAGAGATCAGAGCCTGGCCCGTAGCTGCTACTGGGCTCTCCCAAATCCAGAGCCTTTCTGTAACATCCTGGAAATGACGGGAGCTGACCTTTGTTTGCTGTGTTGCCCCCAGCAAGGGGAAATGACTGCATCTCTGTGAATGCTCAGCCCGTGAGGTTATCAGATTCCTGAGATGATGCTGACTAAGGGGGCATGGCCCCAGAGCTCTGGGTCACCTTGTAGCACACCAGCTCAGGGGAGAATGTGTGGGCCTCCACACAGAGGGGTAAATGCTATTCCAGGTCATTGGCTTCAGTGTATGGACTCCGGTGTAAAACCAAACACAGATCAGTGCTGGTGTGAGGCATCCCAGGTGCTCGATTCCTTTGTTTATCCACCCAGAACATGTAGCAGCAGGGCAAGCTTCACATCTGCACTGTCCCCGAGAGACTAGTTGTTTGCAGGGTTGTTGTAGCCGTGTGGATCCCAGGGAGAATAGATCCATTTCCATCTTCAGTGCCTGAGTGCGGAGCCCCATGTGCACTGGCAAACAGGGGGTTAACTCTCTGCCTAGGTCCTTATAATGTCCCTTATCAGCATACAATTGCAAATGGTCTTTATCTCCATGCTACACATGGGAAAACTGAGGCACAGAGAGAGCGCTCAAGTGACTTGCCCAGGGTCACACAGTGAGTCTGTAGCAGAGCTAAGCATCAAATCCAGGTCTCCTGAGCCCCAGCCCAGTGTCCTATGACTGAACCAATTGGTTTAGTAGAGAGGGCTGGATTCCAGGTGTACTATGGTCCCTTGGCTGGGATATAAACTCAGGACTTCATACTCCCTTCAGACCACAGTGGATTCCCCCACTCATGTCTGTGGGAGTCTGGTAATAAGAGCAAGGGGGTGGATCAGGGCGTAACTGTGGCTGTTCTCTGTTGCCGAGGGCCCATGGGGAGCAGAGCGTAAGTTAGAGCAGCCCTGAGGCCCCTCTGATTTACACTGGAGGCTGGGCAGAATAAAAGACTTAATGCCTTCCCTCCCCCCCTCCAGCCTGGGTGGAGTGACTGAGGCTCAGGCCCCATGTGTCATTTACACCACCCCAGAATTTCCCCCACAGACGTCCCCATGTGAGTCAGGGCTGCAGGCGGCCCTAGGCTCTGCTTGGACACTGGGTAACGCTGCCAAATGCCCACCTGTGGGGGAGCTGCCTCCTGAGAACCCACGGATGGTGACTGTCACAGCACGTGGGCATCAGTTCCATGCCCCCCTCCCACTCAGCTTCACAAATAGCACCGCCAGCCTCCCTCCACTCCTCAGCCGCAGCTTCTGCCGCATGGCTGGGGACAGGGTGGTCCAAAGTGCTGCGTAGATTCCGCCCCCGTCTGGGTGGCTGCAGATCAGCCGGCTCCCTCTGTCCAGTGCCTGGGACAGTGTGAGCACTTCTCTGCAGGGCTCCACCCGGTGCTGGGAGGAAGGGAAAACTAACTGCCTGTTTCCTCTTGTTTTTTCCTACCCCCCCCCCCCTCCAGATGTTCTGGTTTAACTTGGATTTAAACTTGGAGAGTGGTCAGTTTAGATGAGCTATTACTAGCAGGAGAGTGAGTTTGTGTGTGTATGGGGGTGGGGGGGATGTGAGAAAACCTGGATTTGTGCAGGAAATAGCCCGACTTGATTATGTAAAGAGTTGTCACTTTGGATGGGCTAGCACCAGCAGGAGAGTGAATTTGTGTGGAGGGTGAGAAAACCTGGATTTGTGCTGGAAATGCCCACCTGATGATCACTTTAGATAAGCTATTACCAGCAGGACAGTGGGGTGGGAGGAGGTATTGTTTCATATTCTCTATGTATATATAAAGTCTGCTGCAGTTTCCACGGTATGCATCCGATGAAGTGAGCTGTAGCTCACGAAAGCTCATGCTCAAATAAATTGGTTAGTCTCTAAGGTGCCACAAGTACTCCTTTTCTAACTGCAGTAAGACACCAGGAGCAGGAGTGACTCATCTGAGGTCAATCACAGGGAGAGCGCCCAGGAGTCCTGGCTCCCGCTCCCCTCCTTTAACCCACCAAGCTACACTCCCTCCTAGACGTGGGTCCCAGGAGTCTCCTTACTCTGTCCACTAGAACCCAACCTGCAAAGAAAACCCCCTTGCTCTGTGCTGTGAGAAGTGGCCCAGGGCACAACAACTCATTACACTGTGGCCTCCTGCTCTGACCTCAGCACAGATTGTATCTGTGCAGAAGGTACCTGCCACTCCATTCGCTGCTCATCCCTTTGGCTTTGTAGTGTGGGAGAGGGTTAAATAATAACCACTCGCTCTTATCACCAGCAGGTCTTAAAGCGCTTTCCAAAGGTGGGCAGTATAATTATACTCATTTTACAGACAGGGAAACTGAGGCACACAGCGGGGATGTGACTTGCCCGCGGTCACCCAGCAGCAGAGCTGGGACTAGAATCCAGGTT